TTTCTGTATAATTCAAAGGAAATTCCCAGTTGTCTTTTGAAAAATATGTTTCTAGAGGCTGCGGGCATTGTTGGATTATGGTGTGAGGAAGAGGCTCCTGTGTGCTGGTGGACCGGGCATCTTTAAATCATGCAGGGAGAGAAAGTGAGATGGGAAGTGAGGGTGGATGCACTTGGCATCTCATGCTGTGTCTGATGAAGTGTTTCAGAAGATAGTAGAAAGATAGTGAGTAGAAGAAAATTATTTTCATGGATTTAAACATTTGTTCTTCTTTGAAGAATTCAGGCTTGGCCAGATGGAGTAACCCAGAAAGCAGTTCATCGTTTTTCCTTCTCTTGTTCACTTTCATGGGAAGGAAGTGGTACACTCTTCAGAGAAACCTCCACAGCCTGGCACCAGAAGGCAGTCAGAGCCAGGAGTCATAATGTGACATTTGGGAAGTGTTTGAAAGTGTACCACTTATGGTTATTAACTTGAGGTTCTTGTACCCTTAACATAATAGTTCTTAAGTTTTTTTCTGCTTTAGTTTCAGGATCCTGTTGTCCTAAGATTATTGAGGACGCCTGAGAGTTTTTGTTTATGTGGGTCATATGTGTCAATTTTTACTATTTAGAAATTCAAACTAAGAAAAGTTAAAATGCTAGCACACTGATGGAGCCATCATGTTTCCCATGGCCTCTGGAAAACTCTGCTGTAACTTAAGAGTGAAAAAGAGTGAAAAAGCAGTGGATATCTTAGTATTGTTGTAAAAATATCTTTGACCATGTGGATCGCCTCAAAGTGTTTTGGAGAAGCTCAGAGATTTGTGATCTATGAATTGAGAATTTTGCTCTTAAGGATGGATCTAGATGAGTAGAATTCAGGAGATTTGAAATCTTGAATGGGAACTTTTTTTGTCTTTATTTTCACTTATTTATAACAGGAATTCATCAGGTTTTTTTCCATTGCCAGTGCAGGCATAATCATAGCAATATCAGGAGTGTCTGTGACAAAAAGAAATCACAGGTTCAGAACATATTATGTAGTTGTAGATATCTTGCTATTTTAAAATTAGGGTACTTATTAGACCTCTTGGTAGATCATGTTAATATGTTAAAGAGGCATGCATATTAGTATTTTATAATTTAAATTATTTTGTTACATATATATGTTTGCAATCCTATGTCTTGTATTTTCTGTATTTGTGAACATTTTTATTTTAGAAGAGATCAGTGGCACATGCAAAGTTAAGAATGCCTTAAATTTCGAGGCCTCTTGTGTTTTGTCTTCATGGCAATAATTACCACGCTTCGGTTAGGGTCCCAGTGGTAATACTGAGGTCTTGAAAAGTCTGGTTTTAGATCAGTTGTGTTGAGAGGCTGGCTGTGGCAGAGGTGACTTACTTGCCTTCTTTCCACACGGGGTCAGCTATGAAGTGTGCTGTGGCTCGGTAAGTTCTCTGTGGAGGAGCAGTGTGTAGCTGATGCTTCATTCTTGGTTATTCTAATACAGGTTCTTCACTGGGCTCTAGCAGGAAATGAGACATTTGCTGACTGGTTTAAAGTGTAATCCATCTTCATTTTTTCTTAGAGAGTCAGAAATAGCCTGCTGGCTTAAAAACCTTGTTCTACTTGGTCTGGCATTAGAAGACCTTGCCTGAAATGCTCTGTTGAAGGCAACCTTCTCTGAATTGTCAGTATTTATGAATGAGTGTGGGATGGATGCACAAAAGTACTCTAAATTAAATAAATAACTCAAATAAAGGAATAAGTGAATAAATAATGCCAAGGCTGTTCTTTTCACTAGTTGGAATCAGTCAGTTGGCATTTTTCAGGGATGGTTTAAGAGACAGAATGGAAAATGATTCTCAGAGGACATAGCCCTCACATTTGGGTCAGATCCTTCACTTTTTTTTTTTTTTTTTTAAGTTTTTACAGTTTATTAATCCTTTTGTGAAAAACCCGCAGTCATTGCAGACAGGCACTGCAAAATCTTTACTCCTTTGGCTTTTTGCCAGCACCAACATTGGCCTTTGCGGTGCCCCTGACTTTCTTCATTCTGCTCTTGCATTCCTTCCACTACTTTCTTGATGTCTTTTTCTTCTCATACAGGCCATGTCCTGCAAGTCTATGTTTGGGTTCATTTTTCTTTGCATAATCCAAAGAACCATAAATCATGCCGAAGCCACTTGTCTTGCCACCCCCGAAATGGTTTCTGAATCCAAATACAAAAATGACATCCGGTGTAGTCTTGTACATTTTGGCGAGTTTTTCCCGAATTTCTGTCTTGGGTACTGTTGCTTTCCCGGGATGAAGGACATCAATGACCATTTGTTTCCTTTGAAGTAGTCGGTTGGTCATGAACTTCCAGGTCCGGATAGTTACCCTGTCATTCATGATGGCAACAGATCCTCAGGCAGCCAGGGAGGAAAAGAGAAATGCTCTCCTCCAGCCAATCATAACAATGTGCACGCTTTTTTTTTTTTAAGAGTAGGAAAAATTTATTGAGAGAAAGAAAGCTTCTGCCTAAGAGAGACAGAAGGGGGACTGGAAAGTGGGTTGCCCACCCACCTCATATTTCAAAGATGTTTTATACAGCAAAGCCATGTGGTGAGGTGGGTACAAAGTGGGACAAAACTATAGGACCCAATGGAAATTTACAAGGTGGGCATGAGGTGGGACAAAACCATGACCAATCAATAAGATTACAAGTACAGTCACCCAGGTAATATTGATTAAATGGGAGTCAAATTTTCAGTAAGAGTGGGGGTCAGGGATATTTCCTGGAGAGGCTGGTTAAGACCTTGACCCCCCACCCAGGTGATTGATACCTATTTAGAACATCAATCACTGCTATTTATCCCCAGGGGAAGCACAGGGGTGTGTAGTTTCTCTCCATGTACAATTCTGGCCTTCAGTGAATGTGTCTTGATTGTCCTGCACGTTGGCTCCTCCTGGGCTGTCCCTGTCTAACTGCCTACAAGATATCTAATTAAGTTACCTATTTGCAATATTAGGAAGAAAATGAATTAGTGGTAAAGAAACAGAGGATAATGTCTGATCTGTGGAAAACCACTCAGAGAAGGAGTCATGCAGAAAGAAGAATGAAGTAACAAGTCATGCAGAAATGTGAATGAAGGTTCAGGAATAGTGGAGGAAAAGGAGATGCAAAGACAAAAGTGTTGAGGTGGGAAGAGCTTGGTGTGTCTGAAGAGCAGGAGAAAGGGCAGTATGGTTAGAGCAGAGAGGAGACTGAGAGGCAGCAGACTGGTGGGGTCTTGTGGATATAGCGAGAAAACTGCATTTTACTCTTGAGAGTGATGGGAATACATTGGAAAGTCTGAGAAGTCTGGTATGATGTAATTTTATGTTTTGATGCCATCACTCTGGTTGATGCTAGAAAGTCAGCTGTAGGAAGTAGGGTGGTAAAATAGAAAACTGTAAAAGTCTTGGCAAGAAATAGCTCAGCTTTGAACTGGTAAGATGGTGGAGATTGGGAAAGGTGGTTACTTCAGGATATGTTTTTAAATTAGTGAATATTTATTATACAGAATCTGGGTTTCATTTTGGCGTATCCGTACCTGCGTGTAACATGCCTTGGTCATATCTGCACCCCATGGCCCTCCATTGCCCTCCTTGCCCCTCCTCTGGAACCCACCTCTTCTCTATCTCCCTTCTGCTTTCATATCACCCCATCTCATTTCACAAGTGAGAGAAAACCTGTGCTGGATAAAGGCTCTCTTTTTCCTGCTTTGCTTCTTGCTACATTACTTTCATATGGGATCCATTTGATTTTTTATTTTTTTTTGGTACTGGGGATTGAACTTGGGACCTTGCGCTTGTGAGGCAGGTGGCAGAACCACTGAGCTAAATCCCTCTCCCCTTTTCTTTTAAGCGTAGGAAAAATTTACTTTGAGAAAGAAAGCTTCTGCCTAAGAGAGACAGAATGGGGACTGGAAAGTGGGTTGCCCCACATCCTTCACTTGTAATCTTTGGGGATAGTTTCTGAAATGTAAACTCCTTGAAGATGTGATGATGGCATAATAAAATAAAGCATTACATGAGGTCTTTGTTCTGCCTGTAATTAGCTGTGGGATCTTGGGGGAACTTCTTTTCTTCCTTATTTGTATCCATTAACTACCGTAGAGCTTCTCCAGCTCAATTAACCAATAATAATTAGAAATTTGGGGATATATTCACAAATTATAATTTATTGAGCACATAGTATGTGTCAAACGTTGTCTTAAGTACTAGAACTTTAAGAGAACAATATGTATTCCCTGTTCCCAAGGACTCTGTAGTCTAGAATTTAACCAGCAAGTGAGTATTTAGGTCAAATCCACTTTTTGTAAGTTACTAGAAATTCCTAGGGAAAGTATAGCTGTGATATGTGAATAGAAACCTTGCCCATTCAATGCAGATTGTCATTTGATAGCCACTTAGTATCAGTAGAATCATGCTTGGTGTTGATTGATGCATAGAAATTAGTGGGCTCTGATTATCTTCCTATAATGAATATTCACCTAATTTTTATTTTGGGTCTAAAAATGTGTAATTTAGATCATAACTAGTTCCTTGTCTTGAGGATGTTCATGAGCCAAAAAATACAACTATCTACAGAGTGGTAAGTGCTATAATGAGTAGATATGCTGTGTTATGAATTTAGAGAGGAAGGCACACCCACATCAGTTGGGTGTTAGCACTTGTAGGCAGTTCCAGCATGCTTTGTGGAGGAAGACCTGTAAATAACTGGACTTCAAGGGTTGAGCAGCAATTTGCAGTGTAAAAAAGTGATAGAATTTAGAGGAGTCATTCAGCCTTCATCTGGTTGGATAATTGGGCTGCAGTATTTCAAACTGTTAATGTGTGGGCCAGGGCAACATCATCTTTTAAATATACTTATATTACATTGAAATATTAATGATGAGTGGTTAGCATTTTTTGTTTGTTTGTTTTTGGATGGAACAGTTCATTTGTAAGTTTTTCTTTAATATTGTGTTTATGTTTGTGTGTGTATTTCAGAAAGAACACCCAGGTTAATGCCGGATAAGGAAAGCATGTATTACCCACGGGTGCAGCATTACCGAGAGCTTCTTGACTCCTTGCCAATGGACGCCTATACACATGGCTGCATTTTACATCCTGAGCTAACTGTGGACTCCATGATCCCAGCTTATGCAACCACAAGGATTCGCAGTATGAAAAAAATTTAAAGACCTGGAATTTTCCTGAAGTTTCTTTTAATTCAATTTTTTTTTTTTTTTTTTTGTACTGGGGCTTGAACTTGGGTCCTTGCGCTTGCAAGGCAGATGGGGGTACCACTGAGCTAAATCCTCAGCCCTTTAATTCACTTTTGAGACCTAGCATGTCTCATAGTCACTGAGAGAAGATTGGGAATAGGGTGTTGAGTTTTCATGGATGTGATGTGCATATTATGGACTGATCCAAGAGCCAGTCAGATTAATATGCACTTCAGATATCAGATGGACATTTATTGCCTGTAGGACCTGATTTGTTGGCTCTTGGCTTTGAAGGTCAAACTTGGGTAATATTTAGAAGAGTGGCTATGGAAAAATAGAGAAAATAACATGTTTTCATGAACAGATGGACTGGGAGCCAGAAAAACGATAATCTGCCTGGGATGATGGACGACTAAGTTCACATTTCTGATCCTTAATTCTTTCATTATGTGAGGGGGCTGATTAGAGCTGATGGTTACCTCTGCCTTCAGTGATCAGATTTATTAGATTGAGTTGTGCCACTCAGCTTTCTCCCCTGTTCTTATTATGAAGATAGAGTCAGGAGAGGGCGTGAGAGGAGGAGCAGAAGGAAGTATGCTCTGTGTGCAGGTGACTGAAGTTGGGATGGCCACAGGTGGTGACAGTAGTCAGATTCTGGAATGTTTGACTGGAAATGCTCAGTCTCAGGTCTTCAGATCCAGCAATCATGTTTTTCTATTACATTTTACATCACCATTCTCTTGTGTTATTTTTCTTTCCTTTTGAGACCTTTTTTCTCCCTCTGTCCTCTTCTTACCTTCCTCCTCTTCCATCCCCTTTCTCCTTTTTCCTCTCTTTCTCCTCTTTCCTCTCTTTCTCCTCCCCTTCATGTTCCTCCTCTTCTTCGTAAATACTCATTATGATGTGAAACATGTATTCTAGCCACAGTTCTATTACCTACATTATTTTAAAAATAAGGGTTTTCCCTTCCCTTCATATAGCTGTTTATTATAGAGAAACTGAGAAGCAGGGAAAGGGGAGACAACTTACCTTCATGGGGGCATGGCAATGCTCTGGGCCTTGCTGTCAGTCCCTCCCAAGAGCTTCTCAGTTGGGCCTCAGCCTGTGTGGCAGGTGATCTTTAGCTTCATTTAAAAAGTGACGGGACTAGGGCACAGACTGGGTATGTTTGAAGCAGTAGCTGGGCATCAGCCCCAAAGCTCATGTTCCTGCCATCGAGTTTCCCCACTTCTCCTTGTGACTGATACAAAAGAGAGATAATATTTTTCCATTAAGAAATGTTTTTATTATCAGGCCAAATTGGTAACACAGAGTCAGAACTGAAGAAACTTGCCGAGGAAAACCCTGATTTACAAGAGGCATATATTGCCAAACAGAAGCGGCTTAAAGTAAGTGACCAGGCTGTCCTCAAATGACACCTACTGTTTGTATTCAATTTTGTTTAAATCAACGAATAACACTACTTCTAGAACATCTGTTAAACATTGTGATCCACCAGTGCACATGTTATCTTTGGCTTATGCATGCTTTTAGAATTTTCTTTACTATATTTGACGGTTAAACTTCATGACAGTTGCTTCAGAAGCAGACATTGAGCTTGTTGGTTGCCATGGAAAGTTACAAAATGCAAAGCCAGGTTAATAAAAATATTTTAGCAGTCTGTCATTTCAGGGTTTCCATCACATTAAGGCCTAGCTAGACCTGTGTCCCTGTGCATGTTACACTGACTTGCTTTGTCCCTGATAAGGAGCATCAGTTATAGTCAGCCTTTTTCATTCTGTTGATTCTTTTCCCCATGGCAGACATGGAAGCTTTTCTCATATTGCAGATCTAGCAGATAGCAGCCCTCCCAACCCTCCCTTGACTTCTCATCTTCATTTATCCTCTGAGTTAAATGAGCCCTCAGAAGAAATGCCTGCACACACAATCACTTTCTGGACCTCTCACTGCAGTCAGACTTCTCTTAAGCCTGCTTGAGTTGCCTTCTTGAGTGGGGCAGGAGAGGAGCCTCCATGTCTCTCGCATTCCTCCCTGGTCATGTGGCCTCTCAGGACTTACCCGTGAGCACTGGGCTTGCTCCTGGGATATTTTCACAGTGGGAATATTTTCTCTCAATTTTGATCAAGTTTTATTTAACAAAGTTATTCTATTTCTAGCCATTGTCTAAAACAGGCTCTATAAATGTTAATATCTACTTTGCACTAAATATATATTTTTATGGGCACAAATAACTGTTTAATTTTTCTTTTTGGTTTTAGTCAAAGCTGCTTGATCATGACAATGTGAAATATTTGAAGAAAATTCTTGATGAGTTGGAGAAGGTCTTGGATCAGGTTGAAACTGAGTTGCAAAGAAGAAACGAAGAAACCCCAGGTAGGTTCTCATTTGTACTCTTTTTGTTTGTTTGATCAGCAGTATTTATGGGAACATTCTTAGATCTCACCAGACACATTCTTTAATCCATTTTTATTGTTGTTATTCACGGGTAGTTTTAATTATGATAGCAGCAATGCTATTAAAATTTAGGTGTCTAATTGTAACTTGGTGTGTATCTACCTGAAGTGTGACTTATGAAGGATTTTCCCGCACCACTTAAATTATGGTTGGGAGATTACTACCTAATCTGTTTCACAAATCTGTAATTTTAATGGTTTGGTGAAGTAACCTAATTTCTTGAAGTTCCTCTAGTTCTTTCCTTAGGCAGGGAGACAACTTCTAAAGTATAAAGTGAGGGTCAGTATGTGTGTACTTGTAGGCTGACTTGTGAGTGTCCACGTATTGGACCTGTGAATGTTTTAATGTTTTAAGCCAGTGTCTAGGTGTACACTCATAGACCTTTTGTGCTACTGATGTTAACTGATAATCATGTTATCTGAAACTTGTTTCACAATAGGAAAACTCTTTTGCGTTAAGTATAGTCATCCATCTGTATCCAGGAAGGACTGGTTCCAGGGCCCTGTAAGGACACTAAAATCTATGAATAATGAAGTCCCTTATATAACATGGTGTAGTATTTGCATATAGCCTATACTCATCCTCTTGTATACCTAAAATTATCTCTAGATTACTTCAAATACCTACTATATTGTGAATTCTATACGAATAGTTGTTATACTGTATTATTTAAGGAATAATAACAAGAACAAGTTTATGCATGTTCAGTGCAATTTTGTTTTTCAAATATTTTTGATCTGTGAATGCAGAGCCTATGAATACAGAGGGATTACTGTAACTAAGAGAAGTAGTCACTGAGTAATGTTTCAGGTATAACTTTATGAATTTTCCTAAGGCACACCTATTTTTTCCTAAACCTGAAGGAAGTATCTGCTAATCTGTTAACTCCTCTGCCTCTATAAGCTCTCAACTTCTGAGTCCTTTATGAAATAGTAGAAAGTCTTTGAGTTTAAGTGGTTCCAGTTTTGCCTGGGGACTTAGGTAGCTGACAATTGGCAGACAAGTCGTCTTTAGCTTGGGATACATTTGAGTGAACTTTTTTTAAAGCGTAAAATTGTGCACTAAATGATTGTCAAGAAAATGTACCATGGTTTTCGTCTTTTGCTCCACTCACAGGTGCCCTGAAGACAGTGACCACAGGCAGAATTTTCTAGAGTTTCTTTGTACAGTACTTGCCCTAATACTCTGTGTCCTTTTCTCTGATTAGAAGAGGGCCGCCAGCCTTGGCTCTGTGGAGAATCCTTCACCCTGGCAGATGTCTCACTTGCTGTCACATTGCATCGACTGAAGTTCCTAGGGTTTGCAAGGAGAAATTGGGGAAATGGAAAGCGACCAAACTTGGAAACCTATTACGAGCGTGTCTTGAAGCGAAAAACATTTAACAAGGTTTTAGGACATGTCAACAATATATTAATCTCTGCGGTGCTACCAACAGCATTCCGGGTGGCCAAGAAAAGAGCCCCAAAAGTTCTTGGCACCACCCTTGTAGTTGGTTTGCTTGCAGGAATGGGCTATTTTGCTTTTATGCTTTTTAGAAAGAGACTTGGCAGCGTGATACTAGCGCTTAGACCCAGACCAAATTATTTCTAGGCTTGTTGGGATCTGGTAGGGGCAACTCACCCAGCCATTCAGCTAGACCCTTGTCCACGCTCCTGGACCTAGTGAAGAATTATCCTGGGCAACTAGTAAAAGACATAATTCACTTTACTCTTTGAATAGTTTGTATGGGGAGAGGTAGTTATGAAAATGTTTTTATAGGCTGATAAGTGAGATGACTGTAAACTTGAACTAATGTATTCTTAAAACATGTGCAAGGTCCAGATATGTAAATACTGACAGAGACTAGACCTTTAACCCAATATTGCCAGTTCAAAGTCTAAATTACTTTCTGGGAGAAGGTTATAATTATGAGCAGACAGTAGTGATAATTGTGACTGCCTATAGCTGTCCCTTTGAGAATTATCTGGATATATTGATTAAATACAGTATCTTTCCCTAGAACTCAGAACTCAGACAGCATCAGGACCTCACACTGCTTTATCCTACCATTACTAGCTTCAGACAGAAATACGGGAGGCAAAGGGAAAAGGAGGAGGGAAGAATAGGAGAATGAGGCCTATATAGAGTAGAGCAGTAGATGTAACCTTTAGTTTTCTCCAGTGTCACTCATGGTTGCCCGCCTCCTTGGTAAACATAATGTTTAAGTCCTCATGGCCACAGCGCCCACACACACATTCTTGTAATTGAGAACTCTTGGGAAGAGAGGGCTGGGAAGCTACTGAGGAGTAGTGAGCTGGAGAGAACCCCAGGCTTTACATACATTGCACCTCACTTGACCTTGAATACTTATGAACCATACTTATTGATTTAATAAAATTAAGTGACTACTTGAGCATGAGATGTCCATTGGAACATGTCTGCCTAGCATTTACGTGAATGTCAAGTGATATGAAGACGGTTCCTCCTGGTCCCTAATTCAACGGGACCATGGGAGATCTTATTCCTGTCTACCACTATGTCCAGTCATGTGAGGGGCTTGGCCTCTACATCCCTCTTTGTACACACAAGTGGCATGTAGATAAATGTCCCACATCATAGCATAGCATTTGTCTGGGTAGTGGTTATTTTGAGGAGTATCAAGTACCCTCATTCTTCATTTTGGGTGGCTTATATATACACAAGCTGTTGTCCAGGCCTTGCATTTATGTATGTATGATCGTCAACAAAGTCTTAAATTGAGAAAGAGAAATGTCTAGTCTTTGCCTTTGGCAATTAATTTAGAGGAGATGAAATAGATAGGTAAGAAGTCCACCTGTATCATCCATATATGTCTAGGCATTTTGGGGATACCTCAGTCCATCTGGAAGACACAGTCCCAGTTGTTCAGTGAACAACCACAGCACTGTAACATGATGTGTGCTCAAGAAAAGTCTTCCATAGTGACAGGAAGGCAGTTTCTCCTGAGCTGGCCATCAAGGCTTTGAGAGCAATTCAAAGTGGGTAGATTGTTCAGAGAAGATGAGCTCAGGTTCTAGAGGGTAGTAAAAACTTACCTGGACTGTCTCAGATGGGCTGCGAAAATAGTCAAAGAATGTACTGATGTTTTCATTAGTAGAGAGCAGTGAAACTAGGAAACATGAGTTTTTCTTTTTTTTTTCTTTTTTGGTACCAGGGATCGAACTCAGGACCTTGTGCTTGCGAGGCAGGCAGCGGAACCACTGAGCTAAATCTCTGGTCCAGGAAACATGACTTTTTGATGGTAAAGTGATTCTGTAATTCTGTTTTGATTCTATATTCCATTTCATGATCTAGTTATATTTTAAATCTTGATAAACTGAATATTCCCTGTTTATGAAAAACGAATAACACCTCCAGATTGAACTCAGTCCAACAATAATGACTATAGATTCAGCTTTTCTAATGTCTTAATTTTGCAAATCAGCGTGTCATCTTACGGTGTGCCTGAATCTGTTTGTTTCTGGGTCATTCCAATCCACATATTCATGAAAGAGCTATAAAATTGATTATTGATTATTATCTAGTTCATAGCATTTCAGAATCATTTATGTCACTCTATTAAGAATAAGAACTGAGATATGAAGAAATAAATTTGGCTTCTTACGAAAATCTACAAAGGATATTTACCTGTGAAAGTGTTGTTGATGAAGAATAAAGATTGGAAGCTTATTATTAGTTTTTCTTTCAATTATTACTGAATCAGAGGACATCGAAGAAGTATTTATAACTTTCTTATGAAATTTTTTTGGAGATATACTTTTGTCAATATTAAAGATGAAACTTCCTAGCAATTTCACTTGTTTCATGGATATTCCTAACAGGCTTTAAAAACATTTGTCTGGTGATGTAATGACCACTAGATGCCGCTGTTCATCCAGTGGTCTAACGGAGTGTTAGGTCCAGCCTGTCTCCTGAGATGTTTCAAGGGAAGATAAACGTGAATGACCTTAGCTCTGAATGGGACATCTTCATCAGATGATTCACCTGTAAGAAAGCTGGAGACAAATGTAACATTGATTTTTAATGCTTTGTAAAGTGATAACAGCACTATGCCATGCCAAGCTAAAGAGTTGAACACGCACTGTTAGCTAAATAGGCACTTCTACATATCTTCTTTTTCATGATCATTGATGATTGGCCAGTGTGCACCTTATTTTCTAAAATTTGTATAAGTATCACAAGTAGAAAATGCCTGAGGTACTAAAACTATATTGGCTATTATGTCTTAATACTCATACATGCTCTTTTATTGTTATTGTGATTATATGCCTTCTAAATCTCAAATACTTGAAAATTGCTTGCTCAATTTTTAGTAATTATTGCTATTGACATCAGAGTTGTAGATTTTTGTTGGTATTGAATGTTATAGAAAGATAAGATACTATTCTTCCTATAAGATCAATAAACATAATTGGCAAATAAATATGGACCCAAAGACACGGTTTCATTTGTAATCTTTGTGGGAAAAGGATGTATTTTTTTCATTTAAAATCAAAGCATTGCGTGGTAGAGTAACATAAGCAGAAATTAGATATTCAAGATATTTAGCTATAGAATGTCATTCTTACAACAAAAAACTTATTCAATTCACTTAAATATGCACAGTTTTATGGTTAAAAATGAATTGCAATTTAAAGAATAACATTGATCTTGGTTATTAAATACTCGGGATATTTTATGTTTGACACGGCTAGTTTTTTTATTAAGTTTGAATTATGAATAGCCAAATTACTATCAACATTTCTAGCCTTGGAAAGCTTAGTCATTGTTCTGATCATCAAATAGAAATTGAGTACTTTTTTAATTTTACACTAAACTAAGCAAGTTAAGTGGAAGTCTAATTGATGTTGTCTTCCCTGAGTTTATAAACAAAAACAAATGGCAAGGATACTTGAATCACATGGAAAATTAATTGAATATGTAACTCTAGTCTTCTGGGAAAAGAAAAAATCATCATGGTAATGACATAAAAAAGTCAAATTAGTGCAATAAATCAGTATTTAGTCATAACTGTCATAATTTATGTCATATATTGGCCCATTTATTTTGTTTATCTCTACTTATCCCAGAATGTTTTGTTTTTCTAATACTCCAGAACAGTTGTGTTTTACTAGGTAAGGTTAAAGGTTATAAATTAAGTGAGAAAGTCTTATTTCTAAGTGTAAGGATAATAGTTTTATTTTAATTGTGTATTTGTTATATTTTGAAAATAAAGAGGGAGAAAACTTATGGGTTAGAAAGGCAGTGCACTGACAAAAACAATATCCTTTATCATTTGTATTTGAGTTGAGGGGTGGATTTTTGTCATAGAAGGAGAAAAGTTTGACAGATGGGCGAGAAGGCAGTGAGGTAGTGAGGTTCTGAGGTAGAAGGCAACAAAGCCACATCCAGCTTGAGACGAAACATGCCTATAATGTGCTTTGATACATTCCTTGATTCAAGTAGGGTGTTGCATCTCATCAAGATTACCTTGTCATAATACTCTTGGAAAGGTTATGTTTTCACTTTACATCACCTACATATTGGGTCCTTAATTACAATGCACTGTCACTAAACTCTCTTTGTACAAGTATCCAGTTGTATGGATAAAAAAACAAAGATGTTAGAGAAATATGCAAAGGGTTAAATTTCCACGCCAAGAGCAACGTTCATATCATGTGTAAATTTAATTCCTAAAGTAATTGTCGGACATATGGCTAGCATACATAAGTACTCTAGCTTTTTCAATTATATTGAATTATTTTAAATTTAAGAATCATTTAATAAAGTTATCTATAAAATCATTAAATACCAAAAATGTTTTCAGAGATTCCACATTAAGTTTAGTGCACAAAAAAGTTGGCATTAAGAAAATGATATGAATTAGAAACTATTAGCCCTAAAAGCAGTTGTTACATTGTAAAAATGGCCACAAATTCTTCTCATTACTTATTCCCTTGCAATGTGATGTTTCAAACCCTCCCGTCAAGAAATAACATCTGTATAGCAAGAGTGCATAAGGCTTACCAGAGAGCAACTTACTAGTGATACTCGATACCAAGCTGTATTGACATTGGAGGTCCATTCCAGAGAGGGTGGAAGGCCTCAACAACACCATTAATACCCTAGGAAGAAGTAAAGACTATGCCTTAAGGTGTACGAGGGTTTGAATCTTAGCACTATTGATATTGTAGGCCAAATAATTCCTTGTGTGGAGCTGTCCTGTGTATTGTAGAATGTTTACCAGCATTCCTGGCCTCTACTCATTAAATATCAGCAGTGTCTTCCACCCTCACTGTGACAACTCAAAATGTCTTCATACGTTGCCACATGTCACTGGGGGAGAAATCATCTCTTGCTGAAGACCACTGCTTAACACTCACTGTAACAAAGCCTAAAAACCGAGCCTTGACAAGATCTTCCAGGGAAATATATTTTGGAAGTTGATTCTTGCCAAGTTAGAGGTACTTGGGAAACAACTTGGGGTTCTACATATCCTGTATAACAAAATAAAGAGCCAAACATACCTGATTTAAAGATGGTTAATCAGCAGCCCAACTGTCTAGTAGAAGAGAATACTCTTCAGAAGGAAGATAACAGAATACAGTCTGTATGTCATTAACAATGTCCAGTAGACAGTGAAAAATTACTAGATAAGCAAAGATACAGGATAGTCAATGAAAAGTAACAGTAAGTAGAAACAGAATGAGACTTCAGAGCAGCTAACTAATATATGCTTATATAACTAAAAGAAATTTTAATCTGATTGGGTCAACACATAGGAAATCTTATCAGAGGAATAAAAAATGTTAGAGAAAAACAAATAGAAATTCTAGAATAGAAAACTGTATATGAAGTGAAAAATGCACTTGACAGATTCCATAGTTACTAGATTTGTGAAGTGTAATATGAAGAGTGAGGAAGGATGGGAATGGGAAGTGGGAGAAAGGAAGTGGTTAAGTTTCACATGTGAAGTAATACAATTTTGTAAATGGACTAGATCAGTTTAGAGTACATTGTTACCCATAGGGAAAAACTAAAAATTAATTTAAAAAATAACAACAACAACAAACCCAATAGAAGGAATAGAATGGGAGAGGCAGCAGAACTGAGAAACATAAGGGACAAATGGAAAACAAAATAACAAGGCTGTAGACTTAAAAACATCATATTAATAAATTGTGTAAATGTTATTAGTTATAAAATGATCCAATTGTTGGAGTTCATCAAAGTACAGTAGATTAGAAGATATGTACAAGTATATTGTGTAAGAGATGGATTATAAAGTTATATGTAAATTGAATATGAGAGTATGGAAAATGATACGCTAGGCAAATAACCCAAGAAAGCTTATGTGGCTACATTAACTTCAGAAAAAGTAATTTTAAGATTTAAAGATAAAGAGGGATATTTATAGCAAAAGGAATGATTCATTAAGAAAACATAATAATCATAAATGTACATTCATCTAATAATAAAACTTCATAATTTACGTAGCCCAGACTTATAACTGAGGGAAATATAGTTGGAGATTTTTATAACCATTCCTTCACCGTAAATTTATCTATGAATTGGTAATTAATAGAACAAGTAGACAAAAATTCAGTTTGGATATAAAATATTGAAACACACTGTCAACAAACTAGAATTAATTGACATTTTTAAAACATTGTACCCAGCATCTGTGAAATAAACATTCTTTTCAAGAAGATATGGAAGGTCCATCAATGTAAACATATGCTAGACAATGAAATCTTAACAAATTTCCAAAGATTTTCCTTATTACAGAATATATTGTATAGCCATGGAGGAGTTAAATTAAAAATCAATAAATAAAATATTTAAAAAATTTCCAAATATTTGGAAATTAAGTAACACATGTATAAATCATGGCTGAAAGAAAAAATCATAAGGGGATAAGAAAATATTTTGATATGGATGACAAAAAAATGCAACATTTCAAAATTTATGGGATGCAATTTAAGACAGCGCTGAGAAGGAAATCTGTAAGTTTAAATGTCTATATTAGAAGAGAAGAAAGGTTAAATATTTTAAAATTGGAATAATTATATTTATCATTAGGTACAATATGATAATTTGATGTATGTATACAATATGTAGTGATTTTTTTATGTAAATTACCACTTTAAGAGCTAGAGAAGAGTGTGTTAAACCTAAAACAAACAGAAGAACAAAACAGTGCAGAAATTCATGATGTAGAAACAGAAAAATTAGCAAAGCTCAAAATTCATTCTTTGAAAAATAAATGAAATTAATAAATCTTAACAGGAAAAATTAAGAAATATGTAGAGAAAAAATATTAATATCACAAATAACAGAAGGAATGTTATTTTGTAACCTAAAGATTTTAATAAAAAATTTAAAAGTGATAGGTAATAAATTTAGCATGAAATTATGCCAATAAATCTGGATAAAATAGACAAATTTTTTAAAACAAATTCTGAAAAGACATAAGAAAAAGTGGGAACTGAGTGTAATGGCATAGATCTATAATACTATCATTTTGGGAGGCTGAGGCAGGAGGATCACTAAGACCAGTTTGGGCAAATTAACAAGACCCTATCTCAAAAAATAAAAAAGGTCTGTGGATGTAGTTCTGTGCAAAAGCTCTAGGTTCAGTCCCCAGTACCAGATCACACACACACACACACACACACACACACACACACACACACACACACAGAAATTGGAATAGCTGTATGTTTATTGAAAGGAATTTGTAATACTTTTTTTTGAACAAAGAAAACACCAGGCCCAGATGCTTTCACTGGTAATTTTTATCATACATGAAGTAAGAAATAATACCAATTATACACACATTTTTTTCCAGAGAAGAGATAAGGGAGTGCTTCTAAAATTATTTTATGAGAGTAGTGTAACACTGATGTCAAAATCTAACAAATATTTATGAGAAAAAATCAGACTGAATATCCTTTATGAATATATAATCAAAACTTGTTAGACAAATATTGGCAAATTAAATCCATATATATGTAAAATAATACATATCTGTGTGTGTGTGTGTGAAAGTATACATCGTATATAGTATTATGGCCAAGTAGAGTTTATGTAGGGAATAGAATCTTGTTTTAATGTTTGAAAATCACATGATGTAATTTGCCACATTAGCTGAATACAGATAAAAGCCCTTAGGCCATCTCAGTGCTGAAAAAGATTGTAATAAAATTCCACACATTTTCTAAATAAAAACATTCAATATAAGAATAGAAGTAACCTCTTTTAGTCTGGTAAATGAATACAGAAAAAGAACCAAAGATAATATATACTTAGTGGGGAAGTACTGAGATTTTCACCTTATAGATGAGGCATAAGGCAAAGATATATACTGTTATCACTTCTATTTGTTATTATACTAGAATAAAAACCAGTGTAATAAAGCACCCAAGAGAAACAAAAGGCTTAACATTGAAAAGAAA